CAGTGGCTTGCTGCCATTCTTTTGTTGCAAATCTAGTGAGCTCCTGAACAGGTCAGACACCGGTATCCTGATGGCTTCTGCTCATCGTTTCGGGATTATAGGTCGCATGTTGTCATATCCTAGCGACTTTCCCTGGGTGCAGGGATTTTAGTCTCTATAGTATAGGCTCGCGAGTTAGTTCGGTATCTCCCAGACCCTCAAATAGCACTAAAGTTGAAGGTTTTTCTGTAGCTTCAGGCTTCTATCTAAGTTGGTCTACAAAAGTGACATCAAAGATCTCTCTCACCTCTAAGTTAGTGAGATATTTGCCACTGTGCCATTTAGGATCGCAAATTCCGAGGTTTGTGAGATTTCTCCTGACCATGAATCAATATCGATGTTCTACGTTAACTTGCATTTCGGCTGCTAGCTTGACATTGTACTTTACTATTGCATCCGTCTCGTAAGACCGAGTAAGAGCGACAATCAGATTGTCAATGAGACCTTCCATTTGTTCTAGGACCACTGTTTGACTCGCAGCAAGCGTTCCGATTTTCACCTAATTCCGAATCTTCGCTTCCCGGATATGTGCTTACCCCGAGATACATTTTGTTGGATAGCATTTTTAGTGACATTCCTCAATAACTTCCAGTGGTACGTCACTGTTAGCCTCCAGCACTCTCGTGACCATGGGACATTTGGAGGGTGCTCACTCACATCCCAAAAGTCCGCTCTGGTTTTGCAAAGATAAGAAGCATTTTCATCCTGCCTATTTATTTTGTTTTTGATCACGTCGAACATGACCACCACTTCCTATTAAAGGATGGTGATGGACATCCTCAACTAGAAGCTGATCATTTGCTAGTAAGCGTTGAAGTCTCTAGTTAGCTGGTATTTAAACGAGACTCAGGTGCGGTGACTTTGGTATATTCTCTCTTATCTCACCCTTTTATGTTTTGGAAACTATATGGGGTCGGTATATTCCTTCATTCAAGAGCTTCGTATCGTTCACACTTTAGCGACCCAAGGATGAGTCTGTCACTTTGGTCGATTGAGCACTATGTGGTGTTATGGCAGTGAAGTGGCAGTTAATTTCACCCCATCTCTTATTTTGTGAACTCTGCTGTATCGAAAAAGGGTCATGTCTAAAAGCGTACTTCTTCATCCATAATGTTTAGCGATAGGCATGTTTCCGCCAGGACTATGACCTTCAAATATAACTGAAAGCACATGTTTATTACTCCTCCTAGTTAACCTCTTGATCCGTTAGTCTGTTTTCTCAGCATTTCGGGAAGGCTATTATAACCACAGTTAAGTATGATGAAGCACAAAACGAGTAGTATCGTTTGTTTGCTGTAAATCACAGAGACAGTGAACCCAGACACTATGGAAATCACATACCAATATCAAGTCACTGGTTTTAACTAGGAACGGCCATGCGATACAATTATCGTTATTGTGTTCTCTCACCCCACTAACAGTCGTCAACACGGGCTTCTTGTGTTACTAGGAGTAGGAAGCTGGGTAAGAGTGTGACCCTGATTACTTTGTGGAAAATTCAGTTTCAGGGTTTGAGTTGAGTGATCCACTTTGTTTACGATACCACGAGCTTTGTTCTCTACTGTCATATAATCCTGTTGCCAGAAACGGGGATTCTCGATTTATTAATTACCTTTGAATAAGGACCTCTACATCTTCTAGCCATAGTCATATATATATAGCATAAGTACTGGTGGCAGGTTCATTACTGTCCATGTTATTCAACAGATCAAAAGAGCCAAATGCAAGGCTATTTAAGGAGTAAGCACGCGAAATGAAAGTTCCAAATGAGAAAAACAATAGAGATAATTGAATATATGCTACACAAAACTACGAATTGAGAGACTTTAAATTGCTACGTTACCTCAGGCTGTCCAAACGAGCGAATTCACTTCGTTCCAGTAACTTATCCACATGTCTTGTATTTGTAACGAAATGAACGCATGTTGAGTATAAGCAACTATGAAGAGAACCTAGTCAAGGATGGCCAAGATAAAAGCTGTTGAGTGTATTTAAGGCCTATCGACCATCGAATATTTCACAAAACTACTAGATGTACTGCGGCAAAACAGGTAAACATCTCTTACTAAATTTAATCAACAATCTTATACAGTTCAGCCGCAATACGTTGCAAGGCAACGGTAGTTAACTGGTTTGTCAAAGCTCTGCGGCAAGATTTTGAGCACCGAATACGTGAATTCCTCTCCCTCAGCCAGATGTAGTATAAATTTCATAGAAAAAGGTTTCTTAAAACAAATGATATCTTTGTTGAATAACTTTCTATAGAAGTTGTTGCAAGCAAATCAACTTATTGCAGTTGTTATCAATAAATGAATATCTGGTTTTGACCGAAAATGGCTGAATTGTTTTCCACGTACGAGTTTTCCATTGCTATGTGAAAATAAAATCTCACGTTTTTCTTCCATCTTGATTAAAATAAGCAGTTTATTAAAAAAGCTCTTTATGATTTATCAACTCAGCTGTAAATTGATTACGTTTGTGTTTTGTATTACATATCTTCAGCTGAGCTACATGAAATATCCGGGACTAACTTCTGTCGTGTTAAATGTCCTGAAGGCTGAATAAGGTGGCTAGCAGATAAATCGAGTGTTACTTAAAGGCAGTTCAAGCGATTGGATAGCTTTTTTTGTGCAGCTAACATGTTCAACAAAATAATACATCAATAAGGCCATCGAGTAATATATGTACTGCTTATTCATAGTTTAAAATAATTGAGAAAATAATAAGAACGGTAAAAGATCGTTTAAAATTAAACTGTACAGTATGACCAAATGTGTCCCCTCCTTCTATAAGCCATTTGAACATCAGTTCATTCCTATTTTACCCAGAGGGTGTTAGAAATTTTAAATAAAATGTTGTTATGTACCGGGACATGATCTGATACGGATTCTCGGCCAATTGCCTTCGAAGAAAGGGTTCATAAAGTAGAATTTAAAAAGTTAACATTACTCTCAGAGGCTTGCAGAATGTTTTTACCATAACACTTGTTTCCCAATATACCGGCAACGTGACTCGGGAATAAGGCACTTTCAAAATATGGATTGGTGAATTTCTTAAAGGTAACAACTTCTGATATATTTATGTCTTGAGGTACCATCTTAAGATTTTTCAGACCAAATTAGAAATTCTAACATCTTGTTTTCAACTACATTTATCTGAAAGTATTTTATCTCTCATCGTCATTCGTATAATCATTCAAATTAATTTTTCATCATTTGTCTCGCCATCTTCCTTGCCACTCAACGCTTGACCAGAAATACAGGTGACTTCCTGAGTATTACATGTCTTAAGACAAGCTATAGCTAACCATCATCGTGTCCCGGATCCCGTGCTAAGATCCGATAGCTGCTACATTTAATCCGACTGTTTGGAACAAGGTGGTCAATATAATCTATTTCTACTATCACGTAACAAATAAAGTGTATTTCTTATGACGTGGTTACAAGTGCAGTCGCATTTGCTAACAGTGAAATTCGAAAAATATGTGAGATACTTTTAACCGGCTATACTATGTGGCTCAAGTATCGACTTCTATATTGTATCGACCTGAGGGATGCGTTATTGTTGTTCAATGTGGTTCGCGTACGCTCCTTGAGTCATTTACTCACCTTTCCTATTGTTCGTCTCTTTTCCGACACTACTTATGCTAAAACATATGCTTTCCTAGTACAACAAGGCCTTTTGATTAGACTCAAACCTCCATGATATATTCTGAGTTGGAATTATCCTATCTGAACATTACTATTACTATTCCTTGTGTAACCGTCGAGGAAATTCACACAAAAGAGCTAAAAGACAAGTGACGTTGTAGTGAACCGTGATCTGACTCTAAATAGATCGTAATGATGTTTGCTATCGCCTATCCTCGTGTATTATTATTGACTTAAATCACGTTGGTCAATAACGGAATTAAATAAGTCAAATAACGAGAATGGAACTTTGGATACATATATTTGTAGAATCGATGATCAAACAAACGAACGGGGAAACGATGTTAAGAAAAGAAAGTGAAGTTAAATTGGCGCGCGGTGGAGATGGCTAGTAAGCTAACTCCCCCTTGACAAATAGTTAATCAATATTTATAAGCACACAAAGACAAATTACAGACATGTGATGAACAGTGGGATGAGAAGTGTACACACGTCCACGCGCTCATATAAAGACAGTCAAGATTGATGAGCGAATAATTAACAAGGTCAAAATATGACTAAAGTAGAATGAATAGATTGAAATGTCCGAAAGTTAGAATAAGGTATGTGGGCTTAACATAATAACAGACACTACAAAGTCACATCTTTTATTATCACTAATCGGGCATACATTTAACACAGTTCCAGAATATGTAGACTTTTTCCTTTTGGTGGAAAGCTTTTCGAGGAGTATAGTATTTCATGTGTACACATGTGGTTCAGGGGTTTCTTTAGGAAAATAAGTAAAATTTGTTCATTCATGGCAAAAGATGATTAGCATTAAACAAGCGCCAGAAAAACAATTCTGTATATTCTCGATGTTGATGTTGACCTCATTAGCTGTATTAGGAGAACCTCAAGCATCTACATCAGATCACAATAGAACGCACTGTGGCAAACCTGATCAGTTAAGATCACTTTATTCTCAGCACATTAACTATCTTCCAAATTTATCTTCGAAACTCTTCATTCCCGACTGATGGTTTGACCGGATATTTCTACTTTTATTTAAAAGGTGTCAAACTGAAATTTGCCACAAGTTTTGGGGGTCTCACAACGCCATCTCGTGTAACATCTTTATAATCGAAATATGACAACCCAGTCAAATCTCAATTGAGAAAACGAAGAGGTTCGAAGACATATTTTGAAGGATATGACATGGACTTTGACCTTACATACTTCATTTCGATTCTGATGAAAGATTTGAAGTTTTACTCTGAAACCGATAACCTGATTCATAAAACAAAATGGTCTACACTCTGGTCACAAGTAGCTGAATATTGGGTATTGAAGCTTTTCGTGGCTCACATCTCATTTTTCACGCTACTGTGTTTAGGTCTCCTCATTCAGGTATGCGTTACTTAACTGTTTTTATTGATTTGTCGCTTAACGGACTAATAACTCTAAGAAAAATTTGTAATCTATAATTTGTTTACGTTATTTGTCAATACTAAATTGTTGCACATATGCTGGATATAGTGTTATGGATTTGTACTGTGAAGATGACGTTAGAGGCTTCTGTTATATATTTTGATGGATGAATAAGGAAGGAATAAGGATTGTGATTTACGTTTGATTTTCATGGGTAGAAGTCAGATTTATGGCTTTCATCACGAACTAACATCAGCTAAAGTGCCAAGACGCTATTTAGTCAAATGAACAAGGGATTTCGCACCGAAATACAAGACCTGTTATCATAAATCTGATCAGTTCATCCATAAACTATAGCCTCGTCGTTTTTTAGATATCTATGTGAACGTAGCCTTCAAAGCCACTCATTGTGGTTCATACAAAGCATGTAGGATTGCAACAGTATTAGACCTATGTGATCTCTCCGAGTTCGTGTATGTAATGCGTATATATTTCTCTAATCTTATCCCTATAACGCTCCGTGGAGCGTGGGGAACGTGTTACTGCTTTACTTTACAAGGTCCATCTTAATCGCCATGCTGTTCAATACCGAATCGTAGAACCTTCTGATGATCCCCAACAAAAACCCACTAGCTTCGATAATTAAAGTGAAAATCCTGTGGTGCATTCTTGTTGTTTCTAGATTTCCAAATTATAAAAGTAAATGTACTTGTAAAGTTCTTTCTCACCAAAAGTATCAGGATTGTCAGAGAATTTTCAGTTTCTTACGTTTAGTCTCAGTAAGCCTTACATTTCGTATTTATTTCGAACGGTCCAACGTATGAACATTTGCATTGCTTTTGAAAGCTTCTCTATGTCACTCCAATCGATGCTCCCTAGTTTTCTAGTCTTCTGAAGAGTTCGTTAATTTGATCACTGTCATGTCAACATTAGCACTCAAAAACTAAATCACATGTTACATCTAATTTTAGAAAGCGGCATTGTAAAACCATTTGTCAATCGAGATTTTCACCTTCAATATATTTCAAACATTGTGATAAGCTTATAATAAGTTGTTGCTGTACGAAAGTTTAGTTTGTTCTCGAAGTATCATTTCAAAATGTGTTTGTTATCATTACTGAGAGGGTGGTGTAAACCTGGTTGAGACAAATTTCATATCATTCATGATAAGCTTAAACCTTCGAATTTTTAAATTGAAGTAAAACACTTAAGTTTAGAGTCACTGGTTGCTAATGTAAACTCTGTGGTAGACTTTCGTATTGGGTTCACCAGTTAATATATTTTAACGACATGAAAATCCTATCTATTGTAGTCATAGTGATGTTGTAGTGTCTAGCACTATGTCTAACCCACATGGGTTATTCTAGCTTCCGGACAAACTAATTTATTCATTCTTCTACAGTCACATTTTGACCTTGTTAATTATTCGCTTACCAACCGTAACTTTTCTTATGTGAGCGTTTGTGTGCCTAACACACCCTACTCATCACATATCTGTAACTTATTTTTGATCTGTCTGTAAATATTGAATTACTCTTAGTCAAATGGAGTCGGCTCACATGCCGCTACTTCATTCTCGTGTTTGATTTATTTTAATTATGTTATTCACTAACACCAGTTAAGTCAATGATTATATACGAGGGTAGCCAAGATGTATGTTTCTATAGCAATCAACAAACGATCCAACCGGAGTCAAATACCGGACCACATTAAAATGTTAGTGACATATTTTTCCTCGAATTCTTGAAAAATTTGCTTTCATTCACTTAATTCAAGTTCATTTTAATGTATTGCTCAACTTGGTGAAGCTTTTCTACTGAACGTCTCCGATTTAATAAAACATGTCAGATTTTGCGTCTTCTAGTATGCTAATCTAAAACAACTATTTAAAGTTCTCGACACTGTCTAAAAGTGCAGATTTCAATACATCTAGTAATTGATATCACAGAATAAAACCAGCATTCGAATTGATTTTGCACTCAGTACTAACAATAAACATCACAATGCCTGTAACAACTCAGGTTTTTACAACTGTGTTCCAACTATTTTACCATCACTTGGAATCTCTGTACCATTTAGCAATTCAGTAGATTATTTTATAAGTTATAATCACTAAAAACTGCTTGTCTTCATTAATAGCTGGATTCTGCAAAATGGAGGTTAGTTTTTATGAAAAAGAAGATCATAAGTTGAAAATTTAGGTGGTTCAGCGCCACTCTGTACACACGCTTGTTTTCCGCTCTCTCAAAAGAACACATGATATGTTTGAAGCTGATCAAAGTCGTCTTCCGGAAGTTGATGAGAAAAGGTAAATAACTAGTATTGTTTACTATTCTTCTTAGTAATTCATTAAAAGTCGCCATCAAAGCAAAAGATCAATATGGACCTGTGCTTAAGGAGCCTGGTCACAATCCACTAAGGCCTAAAGAAAGTAAGTGAATTTTTGTCCTATCTATTTTAGATATCTCTGACACGTCACAACCGGGAGCTATTGTCCCATCTGAAAAGGTTAAACCAAAGTTAGTCAAAAGTTTATACGATAAATATTTTTGAAGGTCTGCAATTGAACAAAACGCTTCTATAGTTCAAATAGGTAATGAAAAATTGCTACTTCCAAAGAAAGCTCCGACTATGCCCAAGCCCACATGGCATCCACCATGGAAACTATGTAGAGTAATTTAGTGCTACCTACTTTATCCAAAGACTTTTAGGTCGTTAGTGGTCACACAGGATGGGTGCGCTGTGTGGCTTTTGATCCTACTAATGATTTCTTTGTTACTGGCGCGGCAGATCGGATGATCAAGGTATAAAGTTCATATAGTTCGCTTTCATTTATTTATCTAGGTTTGGGACTTTGCTAGTGGGACATTAAAACTGACACTGACAGGTCACATAAGTACTGTTAGAGGTGTCGTTGTCAGTGCTCGTCATCCTTACTTATTTTCATGTGGAGAAGATAAAACAGTTCGTTGTTGGGATTTGGAGCAAAATAAGGTACCCATGAGTTTTATAATATATACTTAAATATAAAGGTTATTCGTCATTACCATGGTCATATGTCTGCTGTTTACGATATTGATATCCATCCAACAATCGATGTAGTCCTTACTTGTGGTCGGGATGCTACTGCACGAGTATGGGACATGCGAACCAAAGTAAGTTGGTAAATTGTAAGGAGTTTGATCCTTCCTTCAAATTAACATTGGTGTTGTCTGAATAGAGAATTAACTTTTAGGATCAATCTTTATATGAGAATTGTCTTATTGTTCTAGCAAGATTTTACTAGCCACCAATGTGTCAGGTCAAGTAGAACGCCTAAAATAAGCAAAGTAATTAACATACTAATTACTTCATTCCTTATGATCAAATGAATCATTGATAATTATTAAGCGATTGATCTTTTGAAGAAAGTACCGATAAAACTAATTCCACGACGGTTATTAAAATGCTACCTCTTATAAACTTTAAAGACCGAATTCCTCTGGCTAAAACTGTTTGGTTCGCAAACTCTAACCAATACCGTAATCGTTTTAATTAATGTTATAATCAATCTCCCTTAAAATGTGCAGAACCAACCTATGTAGTCTTGCTTCTTTTTCCAACCAAGTACGTTTTAGCCTCTTCAGATGGGTGGAAGCTGGGATCAATCAACATTTCGAAAATTCCGGCAGATCATCCAAACCGTAAAATAGCTGAAGACTGGTTTATTCCTTAAATTTCGTCTCTCTCTATTTTAATCACCTGGTGTGAGAGTAAATTAGTTGTTTTTAGTAGCAGTTTTGCCAATAATTCGCTCGATTATTCGTAAAAATTTTCCAGACGCAGGGTATTAGGGAATGATGGTAAATCAGTTGATGAGGTTACGAATCTTCGTCGACTGAGATGGTTGGGCCACGTGTTGCGTATGCCTGAACACCGATTACCACGACGCGCAATGCTGACTAGTGTTGGTAATGGTTGGAAGAAAGTTAGGAGCGGCCAAACTAAAACGTGGCATCAGTGCTTGAAGTCATTAACTTCTAGTCGGTAGATGCAGACTACTTGGTTGGGGTCCGCGCTACTATCGTAACCAATGGTTGGAGACCCTGGGTGACATGGCTCAGAATCGATCACAATGGCTTAGGTGTATATACTCTTTGTCTTCCCTTGAACTATGAAATTAAAATTATTTCATATCTTTCTGTACTATATTCGTACATGAAATCTTTCTTTTATATGTTACACAATTGAGTTAACTGCTTCTATGAATCCGGTGTTCGTCTTGCTGTGCTAATGAGGTGTGGCAACTTGGACCGATGTATGTATGTGCCTGGTCTTACGTTGTAACTGACTGACTGAAAAATTTTCCACTGCTCTTTGTCACCACTGTTTCTACTCATTTTCGTATTGTCTAGTTGACTGGCACCCACAGTCATGGTGTACCCTTTTTTCACTGTCGTTGTAAGTTCTTTTTGTATGTTTAAATCCACAAGGGTGAGTTTCAAAGCACACATTAATGGAGCAAAATCTCTAGGTACACTTTCGCAGTCCCTTACGTTTTGTTTTGTGTGGTCATCAGACTCTATTTCAGTCTTTACGAAAACCTATAAATCGTACTAGGCAATCTTTGGACGAAAATCTTTGCGCCTCATCAAATGCTTAGATAAGTTCTTGTATGCATTCTTATCTCTGAGCTAAAATTAACTATTGCATTAGTCTGTGTTTACACAGACACGTAATTGAATTAAAGAAAATTAGGAATCCGGACATATACTGTGAAAATAATGAGTCATCAGTTTTTCCCAATACAACTTATTCGGTACAAACAGAGACTACGAAAAGATAACATCTTTTATTTCTTTCCTAGTTCATGTCCTTCTAATTACTTCTGCACAGCACAAACAAATGTGTACTGTTCTATTCTTGGAATGCAATGCTATACCTACAATATCACTAGATATTACTATCGAGGACTCAGGTAATCTAAGATTGCACTGTGCTGGTTCTTACACTAGCTGAATATAGTCACATGAATAATCAAACTTGAGTCCTATGTCGGCTGATTTTAAAGACAAGACACACAAGAAGCACAAGATTTTATAGTTTTGAGGCATTTCTGCTACATCAACTAAAACACCTGAAGTTTAACAAGTAGTTTGGAGTGTAGTTTTGAAATATCAAAGATAAAATTTCGCAAGCACTTAGTGACTGCGGTCTCATGGTCAAAGAGAACGGTTGGTAACTGCAGTACAAGGGAATCTAAGAAATAGAAGGGTTTATTAGTGAACGTCAGTTGTTGGTGATAAGCACTACCTTCTCTAACATGCGGTAGAAAAAAAACTCGATGGTATGTACATTGAAAATGATTGCGGAGTTCAAGAAACAACTGGTGAAGTTGATCATACGCAGTCTTTTTGTAACTTTTAAGGTTACATAATATTAGCTCTGTTTTTTACAATTTTATCGCTAGAACACAGAGTCTTTGTGAAAGGACAATGTTCTCTCGAAAAACCACCCCTAGTTTGTACTCACTAGGTAATTATATTATTTTTGGAAAACTTCACTCTATAGTTTTCGTTTTGGTAACACATACGGCGGGTTATAAATGCTGTGGAAAGTCGCTAAAATTAGTTTTGTAATGGAAATTAACCAACTGAAAAGATATTTTATCAATCAACTTGAGATTATATCTTACTACTAATGGATTTTAAATAGTTTCACAATTGAAAAAGAATTTCCTTCCTTTGTGTAATAAGTCGTTAACTGTTAAATTCTATTCCAGGTCAATGTTCATACTCTAACAGGACATTCGAACACAGTAGCAACAGTACGTTGTCAAGAATCTGATCCTCAAGTGATTACTGGATCACATGATGCAACTGTCCGCCTTTGGGACTTGGCAGCAGGACGTACCATAGCCTGTTTGACAAATCACAAGAAATCTGTCCGAGCTGTATGTATCCATCCAACTCAGTAAGTTTGACTTTTAATTCTCTATTTATTTAAACGCAAATTTAGTGTGGTCGCTGTTATAACATTAGACTAAAAACAGGTTTGCATTAAAATTGTTTGCTATAGTTTCCTTCCTCGTTTTCAATAATACAACGTATGGAAATTACTCGTTTTTGAAACTACTAAGACTATTTCATTTTTGTAATCCTGTTGGCTCCCCGGGTTAATGTCCTACATTTTGGCTATGCTTCTTAGCTACTTAACCATGATTTAGGACTCGTATTTTGTTTTACTTGAGATGTCACTAGTATGTTCTTGCATCACAGTATCCTGGTATGCTTACCCTCACCAATTAAATCCCGAGTTATCTACTGAGTTACAATAAGTAACTTTACAACAACCAGAACACCCATATCTTTTTGCCGCGTTCGTAAATTAATAATCTATTAGATAGAAAATAGATTTTCTGGTGATGATTATAGTTCACTTATTTCATCACCTAAGTTTTATTTGATCTTTGAATGCCTTCATATCTTTCAGGAATGCATTTGTTTCTGGATCACCGGATAATATAAAACAATGGAAACTCCCCAATGGTGTCTTTCTTCAGAATCTATCTGGACATAATGCTATCATTAATGCCATCACTGTTAACCAAGATAATGTGGTCGTCAGTGGAGGTATTTACTAGTTTTTATATGTATGTCTTTATTCCAATTATTTTATAAAAATTAAGGATTATAATGTACGTATTGACCATTTAAATAGTTTGTACAGTCTATTTCAAATATTTGTCTGTCAAGAGATTGATCTCTGCCATTGGTTTTTCTGCTTACTTTAGGCGATAATGGCAGTGTTCACTTTTGGGATTGGAAATCTGGGTATAACTTTCAGCGTCTTCAAGCTCAAGTTCAGCCTGGCAGTATTGATTCTGAAGCTGGAATATTTGCTTTAGCATTTGATCGTAGTGGATCTCGCTTGGTGTCCTGTGAAGCAGACAAATCAATAAAGATCTTCAAAGAAGATGAATCAGCGGTAATTGGGCTTTTTGTTATCTAAACTACATACCTTCATAATAACTTAGCCTAGGTACTACTGGACTGAAGTTGTACTGAATTTGAGAGACTAAAATGAAAGTAATATATACAGACGCGGAGACATTCGTTACTCATTAATATATATACACAAAAGTTGAAGATAAACTTGACACTCCACTTCAAGTTGTCTGTAACTGTTTTCAATAAGCACCTCAAATATCCCTACTTCCGTGAAATCTTCCCTCACGATATTTGCATAATTTCTCCCCAGGGTATAATCAGTTATCGAAATAGGGCATCTGTAATATCTATTTCAATGGATTGGTTACGAGTATCAAGATAGCTCGAAATGGTGAGAATTCTATTTTTGCAACATCCTATACTTACTGTCGCATAGCAGTTTTCATAACTTTGAGAGTAACAAAAAGGAATGCAAAAATATACATTTCTAAATTGTTGGTGCGACCGTATACGATGAGAAGACACATTTTATACACTGACAACCTTACAAAGGAGACGCTACATAAATAACTTGGTTACTATTTTCTTGGTATTCATCCCTATGAATGATAAATATGGTTGTTTGGGGGGACACATGTTCTGTATTGCTTCTAACAGACTGACTGGATAAAGACGATCGCTCGACCTTCGTCAAAGTGGCTTAGGTATGACTTGTATCTATTTGTCGAAGTGCGAGTATCCACTGTGCAAACAGGTCACTTCAACACTGTCTTCTGAACACTTGCTTTATATAGTTGAATTACCAAGTGAGTTATGTTGAGGTTAAATGTTGTTTTAAAACAGCAAATCAGTTGCTGAAGCTGAAATTTGGTTGACTAAGGTAGTCAGAACACGTTTTACACATGCGCAGCTGCTGCCCAACGTTTAAGATCTTCAAGTTTTTCTTAACTAAGCTTCATTCTTCACCATCAGCAATTACCTTGTGGATTAATCAACCATATGTTTTATTTTTTAGACGGAAGAAACACACCCGCTGTACTGGCGCCCGGGCTTGCTGAAAAAATCGAAATACTAATCCACCTAACCCACTTAACATTTCAACAACAATATGTATAGTATGTTTCTATTAAAGAATTTATCTTACTAAATACAATCGATTTAGATCTTTGATTATCTTAGTGGTTCGGTTTAGTGGATTTATTTAAGACCATAAACCGTTATGGACACCAACTAGTAGCTTTCAAATTCAAAGCACCTAGAAACCCATTACTCTAAACGAGTTTCACCATAACCAATTCCACATTTACATGTACATGTATTGAATTATTCGACCTTATATCTTAGCGACTGACATCTGTGCCTAGCTTATTTTGGAAAAATGATAGAATTAATAGAAGATATTTTTGTAATAAAATCTGTCAGTGTTTTTCTCATGAAGAAATAATAAACGGGGATTACTGCGTTAGTTTTATCTTTTTACAAGGTAATTCATCTTCTACACAACTAGCTTCGTCTGTAGATTGTTTATTTACAGTAGGTTTAACAACGATAGAAGATACATTTGGCATAGACAAAAGTTTAAGCAGTGCAGCTGCACCATGTACTGTTTTGCTTCGTATAAGACCATGAGTCACTACCGCGAAAGGCGCCTTGGTAAGGCAAGAGTGAGTTGCCTCCTGCGGTTGCAGACCTAGACAACCAAGCATTGCAGATACAGCCACTGGTCGACGGACTTCCCATCCGCTTGACGCCCCGGAACTGACGACTATCATATTTGTAAATGACTTTCGCGCTATGCAGAGTAAGCTGCTGAAATACTGTGATAAGACTGAACGTGCGCTATAGGTTCCAGAGGAAGAGCGAAGTACTGGAGCAAGTTGAAATTCTAAGTGGATACCTCGTGACATCATCAAATTGCATTGTTTACTTAACAGTCGAATTTCACTTGATTTTGTAAGGTCTAGAGATATAAGATCAATGTTCACAGCCTTTTCACATGCATATGCAAAAGCGCTATTGGAAGTAGGACAGAAACTCACAACATCGAAGGCACCAAGTTTATCCTCGAATTGACGGAAGAATAAACCGGCATTTTCAGCATTATTGCAATATATCGTCAAACGTGTGAATATTCGTGGTTTACATGATATAGCGGGAGGTGACACGGAAGCTCTGAACACACCACTTTCATTAATATAAGCTTGAAGAACATCTGGAGAAGGGGGTTCTAATTTAGCAGTGAGGTTCTGACGCATAGCTTGTCTTTCCTCTTTGTTTTTCTTCCTAGTAGCGGAATCTGATTTAACTTCGAAATTGAAGTCATCTACCGATACAGACTGACTGACTGCCACATAATAATATCCACAATCAAGCAACCGTGCAAGGAGGTGCGCGTTCATTGCTTCAAAAGGAATATCAAGATCGAAGTAATTGCCTTCCATTTCATAACATATCACAGTGAATTTATTGAGATTTAAACCCAATTAATTGTAAGCTCGGCTTTTCAACACAAAACCTAGAGTAGAAATAAGAAACATGTTAGCCTGAAGTGTAATGTACCAGAAATAAAAGACGAATCATGTGTAGTATATGTATGAAGGTGGAGATATTGACAGAAAATAGCGAAATACAAGGAATATAGTAAGTGTTATACCTTAGTGAAGATTAAATTACGGGTAACTTCCGAGAACTATTAATGGATAAGCATTATATATATTCTTATTGTATAACTACTCAGTAACTAGATTATGTATATCTATACCTCTAATTACAAGCTTTATTTTGACCTATAGACTATTACGGTACCATTTATTATTCTTAAATTATACTCAGTGTATCTATTAGTCTTCCACGTTCACAGCCACTTTCTAGCTTGGTCTTATATAAATGTTATCCCCTATCTTATGGTGTGATATAGTCTGTTTGACTGGTACATAAACCAAGTATGTTTGAAATAAATTATTCGTATAGTAGATTTGCATGTTGGTGTTCTGGACTCAACTGGTAGGGCTAGGAGGAAAATGGACCAAAAAGGATGCTAGGTTGCTCATAACGGTCGAACACCATTGGTTTGGCACAGTACTAAGATTGTACACGTCGCATCTCGATTAGCGAAAATACCACGTGATATTAGATCGGGCTTAACGATACAAAACTAAGCAAAACCAAGGTCGCGATTTTGTAAAATAATATTCATATTGTGTGTAATTGTGAATCTAGAAGCAAAGCTGTAGTGAAATCTAACTACTTCACAACCAGTAATCTCAATTAGGCTCTTTGACTAAATATCTGCAACATTTAGAGCGCTGACAGCCTGAATACTGTAAAAAGATTGTAAGAAATCGGAAAAAAGTCCGTGTAAAAGGTTTTCTTGCTTTCAACAGTACGTAAATTATTTTCTCCGAAACTTTCACCGGCTTATTATGCAATTAACAGTTATGTATGAGCTAGAAACCGTCCTATTACACAACCGACTGATTCTTATAACGTGAAGCAATCTTAACATCACGTACGGCCGAGAGTGGGGTGAACCCGCTCTCCCTCTCGAAATGCTCTCACATGGCCATGCGTATATAGCCTCTGCCAGGGAAGTCCTACTCACTGCTTTCTCGTGGCGGGGTTGTTGTTTACAAAAATGAGAGGACGAAAAGCGAATATCCGGCGCTTTAACCGGACCCCAAACCAATGGTGCACATCGGCTCCAGTATCCTGAAGGAACAAATGGCGTACGAACCAATCGTTGGTCACCGGCTACCATGGGACTGCATCTCCTCACGATGCTCCACTGCCTTGTGGGTCAGACGTTCAGGTCGAAGGCTCGGGGTGTGGTCCCCTAAGAAAACCACCTGCTTCGGTTTGGGCACCCGGGCAGTATCACAGCCCTCACACAAATCAATTGAGATTCGTGTGGCGCATATGTACTTGGTGCCTCCCTGTACCTATACTTTTGTGTTAAAATAAATAATAAATAAACACCACGTTAAACGACTAACTTCAGTCTAGATTAGTAAAGAAAGTGAGGACCTAGCGCGGATTGTGGAAGAAAGGCTTAGTAGGTTGAAGTAAGGGGGTGTAGTGAAGCATGACGTTAAGAAAATAAATTTTACCAGGTAGGAATGTGAATCTCTATCAGCTGAATGGTTTGTAAAATCTAGCAAACGTTTATGACGAGCTTTATCTCGGAAGTTGATTGACCAGAAACCTTCATCACTTGGTGAGTAATGAAAAAATGGTTGTTATGCATAGACGTTTCTTAAACTAATTCAAAACTATTAAACATGACCGCAGAGACAGGGTCAGACTTGGATACATTTCGTAGTGAAATAATGCAAAGTATTACTTAACAACGGTAAAAGAGAGGCTAATGTATGGGGATACTGGATACGCTAATTATGTTAGAGGCTGTCATAGTGCGACATTTTGGAATAAGATTTATGCCCGATAGTCACTAGGGAGTATATGTTAGTCCGGAGTCAGAGAAGATAACGTTGCGAGTAGCAATTTGCGAGCCCCCTTCCGTCAAATAATTGGAGCTGTCTAGTTGACCAAAGAGATTCCAAGCGACCACAACAGACAATAGTCGATGGTGTTTTTAGTTATTAAGTCCAGTCACGTCTATACTTCACCAAATAACTGGATAAACAGTTGAAGATTTGGTCATAAAACCCTACATCAATAGCCGAGGAAGTATGGAACTATTCCTGATAAAGTGGTTTGACCTAAAATATACCTCCAGATAAATGAGACGAGCAAAGACATTGTGCAAATACTGAAAGAGGAGTAGGAATTGGCGCTATAAGTTAGTCAACAAGTTTGTGCAACAGGGGTCAAAAAAAGTCAACTGCGAAAGCCATAAAAAAACGACACAAAACTGTATAAAATAGGATTAAAAATTTGTATAAAATGATGTAGCTGCAGTGTAACAGATCGTACGGCTTCAAACACTACACAAAACAACTAAAAACCATGTCGATTAGTAGCGCTCAAATCGTAATCTGCGCCTCTATTTCTCTAACCTAAGGTTTAAAAACTAATTCATATTTACAGCCGTATTGATGTATAAACACTGAAGACCTAAACTGCAAAAGTATTTCATCATAATGACATAATGAGTCTTTAGTTCCTAGAGCAATGCGAGAAGCAATTATTTACCTTAAAAATTTCCCAAAGGGCAATCAACTAGAAACTTCAACCTGGCAGACTTGGTGTTATTGAGCATTTCGTTATAAATTGCTACGTTCGGCGATATTCGGTTATCTTTTCTTACTGCGAAGAGCAAAGTTTCGAGCAGGTCATATTGTAAAAATACTGTACTCAGAGTTTGTAAATATTAGAATTTTATATATACCACCACATTCATGGAGCTAAATTTTCTTGTTTGGCGCATAACGAAGGATAAAGGTACGACTAGCATGCCAAAAAATTATGGGAAAGAGAACGAAACTTTACTAACGCGGGAATCTTTTATGTGTTCTGTGAGTTTTGTAATTCAGCTGGACCACGTTTATTTTACCAGCTGTTGTAAAGTATAATCGTTTTCTCACGCTAGATACTGTTGTTTGTTGCAATGCAAACTAGAAGCAATTGTTGAGTGGTGCAAATAAGAATATCACGGAGAAAAGTTTGTCTTCTACCTATGCCGGTTCCATACTATCAATCCCTCGGTTACCTCCGTCCCATTTTTTCAGAGATACAGCTCTTTGATTCGTGGTTTAAAACATGAAAATAACCTTCTTTGGTCACATCAGCTGTCGAATTCATTCAAAAGTCACAAGGACTCGAATACGATGCCTCCATGTGAGTTTGTTAAGTATATCTGTTGACTGACGTCCAGTAAAGTCATGCGTAACTAAACTCGTGGAATTTTTGGCTTATCACATTCAGGAGCTTAAGCGTATGCAGTTCAGCTGAGAGACCTGCTATTTTTCCCGAGATCTGAATGATTGCACTGTAGACAAATCTAGATGCAATTTCTTTATCACATGTTTCTTCTAGACAAGACACTTTGCGTAGGGTCGATAGTGGCTCACCTACTTACTCCTATACTTTTATTTTACTTTTTTATCTGAGAAAAACGATCATAAGGTGAAATATTTTGATTTTCCTTAGTGCACTAAGGATGCAAGACAGCTTGACCTTTATGTTAGGATGAACCAGACTAGGTAGTTGTCAGACAGTGTGATTTTAAGTAATTCTAAGAAAAGCGAGCAGCAACATCGTTTTAGTCCAACTATACTGAGTGATGAAAACAAGATTCTCAAAACCGACAAAGCTCGATACCAACATGCGTATTGTTGACAATGAATTCATCTAGACCTGGTCACTGTTAGCTGTGAGGCAATTCAATATTTTCGGATTTTTCAATATATGGTTTGTGTATGAATATGAAATCTTCACCTGACACTAGTTGAATGATAACAATATCTTTGACCTAATCGGACAATCTTCATTGGCTACTCTGACAACTCATAAGTCATATTTTGGAACTATGAACAAACCGAACAAGGAGAAACTCATGAATCTTGCCCATAATACATCGAATGTCACTTGATGACACTCACTGAAGTAATAATTTGCTATATGATATAAATACGAGAGGCGGAACTTATACTTAATAGGAGTTCGTTTAACTATAGTTTTATTGAAGTTATTCGAAGACGAATGTTCGTTGAACTCATATGCGTGAGGCTTTTATCAGTGTAATACACTCACCTCTGTAATTTTATTATTAGTTTCCATTCACTAGTACTCAACTAGAATGGTGTTACATGAACTTGACTCGAAGACAAGATTTTCAACAACCTACTATCCTTCCACAATCATATCTGTTGTCTAGGGGTCTCTTGGTTTTATAGCACAATGAAAGGACAGATGACATCTTGCCATGCAGGTGGTTTATTTAAAAAACAGGGTAACAGAGCTGTACGAAGATCGTCTAACTCATTCACACCACATCTCCGAAGGTTAATCTGTTTATGCTCGCTGTTCGTGGTCAAGGCACATAGTGAATAAATTTTCAGAGTAAAGGCACATTTTTATTGATCTACTATTTCCATAGGACACAGCATTATTCAAGTGAACCGAAGAGATTGATAGAATTTTGTGCCACTCCATTTATAAATGGTTTTTGTCGAACGAATTGTCCAGTCGATAGCTTTGATGTAGTTTGATAAAATGATTTGCATCAGATAATGACATCTTTCTTTCAGCAATTCACACTGCTAATTACGCTATGCACCGCAATTGGTGACTGTTCCTTTTTCAGGTGAACATTTGAAGATTTCGGGAATTCCATCAATTTAACTCTAAAATCAAATAAATTCAAACATACGAATTTGTCAAACCATCAACGAAAAGCCTTTCCGTATCCATGTTTCCATGTTGGTGGATCCTATATAACGCGAACCTAAAAAACCTTTATGTTTATTAGCTTTTTCCTATT